TATGGGGAAAAACCCTGACCCCATAGTTCTCCTTTTAAGGATTAGGTGTCCACAGATAGAAAAGCAGTGTAAAAATTGGCTAGGTTGGCTAACTAGTCTAGGTTAAAATGTACTAGGGTATAGGTAGGCAACACGCACCTCTATCCTCATAATGTGAAAAAGTTAGGTATACACCAGTTAGGCCTATTCTCCCTGATTAAAAATGTCCCGCCGCTGGCCAAATTTACACTGCTGTGCCCTCTGCTGTCTTTCAATTCTTGTATAACAACACAAACACCTAGACCACCCCGCATTATAGCATTTGTGCCTATGTGCCCCAGCACTCAGGACTGTGCCGCTATGAGCTAAACACCTTCCTAACAACTTTTGTCATAGTGTTTTTTATTTCCTCGGTTCTGAGGCAGTATATAATGGGGCTGGTCAAATGAGGCACAAATGTGTACAGGCAGATAAGGAAAACATTGAAGTCTGCGTTGGAGATGAACTGAAACTGATTGTAAGTGTAGACAGCCAACCTGGGGACAAAGTAGAAGAAGATGACAAAGCAATGCGTGGTGCACGTGTAAAACAACTTTTGTAAACCCTCAGAGCCCGCCATCAGTCGGATCTTCCAAACGATGATTACGTAGGAGAAGATGATGAAAGAAAGCGGGAACAGGTGAACAACCATGGCGATGATAAAAACGGTCCTTCTGGTCAGCAGTGAGTCCACGCAGGACAGAATGGCAACTGGAGTCAGGGAGCAGAAGCAGCCTTTTATTTGGTTTGATCCGCAGTAGGGTAACTGGGCACCCATAATCGCGATGCTGAGTCCAATCATGGTGGAAATCGACCAAAATATGAAACAAACGAGCAGCAGAAGTTTGTTGGTGATAATGGAACAGTAATGAAGAGGTTTGCAAATTGCTACAAAGCGATCAACAGCCATCAACATGATGATAAACGAATCCAGGGAGCCGAGATTGTGAACTATGAACATCTGGAGGAAACAGGCAACGAAGGACAGGGAGCCATGTCCAAACCAGTACTTGGCTATAATTTTTGGCAAGGTCAAAGTGTCGGAGATGAGGTCAGACAGGGCCAAGTTTCCAATCACCGAGTACATTGGCTGGTGCAGGTGTTCTCTTAGAATGATCAAACCTAACACAATGGCGTTGGAGAAGAGAGATGTATTGTAGACGAGGAAGAAGACTACCGACACAGCGGCATGATACCGCTCAGACAGACCTGGGAATCCAACAAGGACAAACTCATAGACGCTGGTTTGATTGGCCATTGAGTTCTTGGATATTCTCCATAGGCAGTTCTATAGAAAAAAAAAGTGTCAGACAGAAAAAGTAACAAATTTCAATTCCGCATAAGGTTTAAAGTGTATGTAGACCCAAAATCTAACTTAGGCATCATGCCCCATGCACGCAGTTTTCTTTAGCAAAAGTCCTTAAACCAGGGGGGCCCATGAGGTAGATGGTGATCTAGCAGTAGCTCTCAGAGCTGATGCT